GGAGGAGGAGGAGGAGGAGGAGGAGGGGGAAGAGGAGGAGGAGGAGGAGGAGGAGGAGGCGGAGGAGTAGGACGACAACGGCGAAGAATAAGAAGGCGAGGAGGAGGAGGAGGAGGAGGACAATTAATCAGTCAATCAACGTTCAATCTATCAGTAATCAAGATCAATAAGAAGGCGAAGAATAAGAAGGTGAGTAGGACAATCAATCAGTCAATCAACGTTCAATCCGAATCCAATCAAATTCGGATTGAACGATGATTGATTGATTGATTGACTGATTGCGACCAACAATAAGAAGGTGAGGAGGAGGAGGAGGAGGAGGAGGAGGAGGAGGAGGACGGCGGCGATGGACGACGACTACGAGGAGGAGGTGGAGGTCTACAAGGAGAAAGAAGATGATGAGGAGGAGGAGGAGGACGATGACGACGACAAGAATAAGAAGACGAGAAGGAGGAGGAAGAAGAAGAAGAGGAGGACGACGGCGACGAAGAAGAAGAGGAGGAGGAGGAGGAGGATGGCAACGATGGACGACGGCTACGAGGAGGAGGTGGAGGTCTAGGAGGAGGAGGAGGAGGAGGAGGAGGAGGAGGAGGAGGAGGAGTACAGAGAAGAGGAGGAGGAGGAGGAGGAGGAGGAGGAAGAAGAAGAGGAGGACAAGGACGACGAGGAGGAGGAGGACGGCGACGAAGAAGAAGAAGAGGAGGAGGAGGAGGAGGAGGAGGAGGACGAGGAGGAGGAGGAGGACGACGACGGGTGCGATGGACGACGCCGACGAGGAGGAGGTGGAGGACTAGGAGGAGGAAGAAGATGAGGAGAAGGAGGAGGAAACGGACGGAAAGGAGGAGGAGGTGGACGGAAAGGAGGAGGAGGAGGAGGAGAAAGAGATGTAGGGAAAGGAGGAAGAGGAGGATGAGGAAGAGGAGGGAAAGGAGGAGGAGGAGGAGAGAGATGAGAGGGACATGGAGGAGGAGGAGGGTACGCACCTGCACGAGGGTTGGAGGAGACGTCGGGTCGTGGCCATCGATGGCGACGCGGCAACGTCCAACTCCGACGACGTGCCCAAGTCGCGCGTCGTCCAGTCGCAGTACACAGCCAAATTCGAATTCGAATTTGACCCGATCTGGGCCGTTGATGTCTTAGATTTGACGGCCCAGAGCAAGCTATTTTCGTTTTCGATTTCGGAGGCCCTACCGGCCTCACGAAAATGGCGCGTCCCGCCCAGGGGTATATCATACCCGAAGTCCCACCCCCACAGGCCCAAAAGCCTTTAACCCCCCCTACACGGATTTTTCCACCAGCCCGGAAAGGTGGCCCAGCTCGGACAACCGGGGGAGTTGTCCTATCGGACAACCCGGACCCAAAAAGGGTCCCGGACGTCCGGGCTGGTAACCTCGGGTATTCCCCTATATCAGTATGAGCACAGTTGGGTTTACTACTCTGGCACTTCAACCATCAGTTGCTTCTTTTGCATTGACTTTGCCTGATGACTATGCTTTTTAATGATCTTGTCACAGTTCTCAAAATAAGTAAATTGGCAAAATTGACGCATAGATGACATATCAAAATTTTATGATTATTATTTGCATGATTCTCTGCTGTTCCGAATCAAAATAAAAGATTCCTAAGACCGGGGATCGGGACAGACCGCAATTCAAGGGTCTCGCTCGAAGCTGGACGTACACAACAGGAAGGGATTTGCTTTATTTAATTATATTTTATTTATTGCAAACCGCATCTAAAATCCTGCGTGACAACCTGTTGGTTTTCTGGTTGTCCGAAGTGGCCCGACTGAAAAAAGTGCGACAGCGTGCACGTACGATGCCCCCCCCACTGTGCGCGATCCCCTGCCCCCGCGCGCACGACTTTCGTTCCCGCTTGAATACTCGCACACAACTATGTTCCCTTAACTCTCACCTTCCTTGTGCAACCTTCTTCCGAGCGCTCCTTCGCTGGTGCGCCTCAATGTGGCCGCTCGCCCAAGTTTCCTCCCGAGTTTTTCCTCAGGCACCTGCACGGGCGTCGGTCTGCTCCGAGCTCCGTAGTACGCACCGTGAGTACGCATGTCGGATGTGTTCTCCCAAGCTCCACTCGTGCGCCTATGCGTGCGCTAGTGGAAACTGTCCCGATCCTGGGCCCGGTTCGGCTTTTATACTTTGTCGGGCCCCCTTCGAAGTGTGCCTCAACCCTTGCAACCTGTGAGGTTGCCGACAAGTTGCAACACCTCGATACCATGGCTCCCTCGAGCCTACGCCTGGTCCGATTAGAGCCCCCAAAAGGTTTCCTACGAAGAGGGTCTTTTTGTCAGGTACCAGACCTTTTGCAGCGCCCTGGTACCAAAGCTCACGCCAACCCTAAGCCCGAGCCTGCCCAGGCTCTCGTGGTCCCCACACCAAAGAGTACCAAGGCCTTGCCAAATTTCTTAGGGCCCAACCCCGAAATTAATAAGCTCACGGCCCGAGGGCTCTTCTCCTAGCCATTAGGCCCCACAACTTCCATTTCAACTTTGCTCAGAACCCGAATGTCAAGGCCCCGAGTGCGGCCGAGAAATGTTATCCCTTTGCACTGATCCTTTGATAGACCACCGGTGTCGACTGCCACTTAGTTCGCTTGAGGGCTCATCGCAAGCGCCCAACGCTCCTTTTTGTCTGGCTCATCGCCTGACACTCAATGTAAGTCCATCCTCCTTGTTCTTGTCCGTCACCCGGAGCCTCCGGCGTTTCCTTTGCAGTAATAGCTCTGTTATATCTTGTCAATGATATACTTTTATAGTACCCATAAAGGAATGTTCACCTCGACCTTGACATCCGCGGCGTGGATCCGATATCATATCCTTTCGATGTCGATTGCGATCCCGATAGGTAAATTGACTGAATCCAGTTCGTCTCAAGCGTTATCATTAAGGAAGAAAAGGCCGAAGTAAGGATGGAACCGCCCGACGTCGGGATTTAAGGACGTCTTTCATCTTCTCATGAGGCTCCTTTTCTTATTTCTCCTCGACTACTTCTTCATGCATAACTAAGTCATCATGTTCAAGTAAGTCGTCATGTTCAAAACATACGCCAAATCAATTTCTGATTTCACAATGTGAAATTTTTATTTAACTTCTTATACCTTTCTTGCTTGTTGCTCTTGTTCTCTTTTCTGCCTCTGATATTGTTTTCTTTTCCAGTTTTGCACCCAACCCAGCTTGCAATTATTTGATGGTGTCGTCCATTATCTCTTCCGCAACTTCCAGTTGTTTGACGATCCTTCCTTCTCTCACTTAGTTCTCCCTTTCCTTTTTCTTTGGCCACTTCACCGAATATCTTCGTCAACTGCTCAACAAAAAATTGACCGGAGAAAATTTGATTGAAGGCCACACGTCCCCGGTCAATTATTTGTTGCACCCTCCCGCTGGTTTCCAGCATTTGAACGACAGTTTCAACCCTTGAAAATTCGTCTTCTACAACATGCAGATCGAACTGGCTAGGAACATATCATTGAGCGTCTGACCCAACATCGTGCAATTCAATGATCAGTTGATGAAGACGACCCAACATTTGTTTTCGTCTTTCTTCCACTTGGCCACGGGTTCGCAGTACCCTACCTTCTTCATCAGCGAAGAAGGTGATAGAGATAGGAAAGAAGAAGAAAGAGATGAATCTTGTCAGGATGGACGCACACAAACAGTTCCAGAGGTAAGTCATTTTTCCCAACAAGTGTCTGCCACACAATAAACTTTAAACGACAATTATTGATTCCATGGTCAAAATTTAGTCAGATTTCAATCTTCATGGCAAGAAAATGAAATGAAATAAATAAATTTCAACAAGAAACAAATTTCTGAAACGGTTTTCACCTTCTTGCAGTCACAGATGCGGGCCCAGAGTTCGATCCCCAGACCTTACCCTACCCGACCCGTGTACAGTATCCTGTCGACCTTGGGAGTGTTTGAACCCGTGACCTGTGTTTTGGCAGTTGTTGTTGTTTGTCGTAGGTCTATGTAGTTGTAGGGGTTCGATCTGTAGGTTTGTCGAGTAGGGGTCAAGCCCTGTACAGGTCGTAGCTGTAGATGTTTTGAAAGGTCAAGGTCGTAGCTGCTACAGTCCTGGAAGGTCAAGGTCGTAACTGCTACAGTACTCGAAAGGCCAAGTCCACAAACTTCCGGAAGTGGCCTTTCGAAGTTGCCTCACGTTTAGTCAGAGGCAAGTGGGCAAGTGGGGAGCCCAACTGTATTACGTCGGTAGTGCGATTGCATTGAGTTGGCAGTGCAAGCCCATGCAGTCAGCAGTACCGGTCCACTCAGTCCCAGTCCAATCAAGCAAGTACCATGAGGGGTTGTGTGCACCATGAGCCTGGTGGAAAGGGGCAGACCAACGAGTTGCAAAAGTATAAATCAAAAGGCAGCGCCCAGCCATTCATTTGCTGCGTAACCACGCGGAAGCGCTGCCACAACAGCTTGTGCGAGGTGGTCTACAAAGTGCCCGAAGTCAAAGTGGGCTGGGGGAAGATAGCATAGCCATAGAGTAGTGGTGAGCGACCATAGCCTCCATAGGTCAGAGAGAGTTGTTAGCGTCTATGTGTGCGTAACATAGAGTGAGTGTGCGTGGGATATTCAGGGTGATCCAAAGTTGGGAGTGCGTGCGAACAGATGTGTTGGACACAGTGATGGGAGTTGGGAGGTACAGGCGCCGACAGGCCATAGCCTGATGAAGCGAGTTTGCAGCTGAACTGTGTTTGTGGTTTCCATATCTCTGAGTTTTGAGTGGGCTCTTAGCGTAAGTCTGAATCGCCGTCTGTTTGTATGTATGCGAAGTGGAAAATAAAACGAGTCTGATTTCATTGGTATCGGAGTTGGTTCCCGTTACTTCGCGCGCCATCGTTGTCTGGTGCTACACCTGTAGCCGCACCATCGAAGGAGGAAGGTTCGCCATAGCTGCGCCGTCGAAGAAAGGTGCCGCGAACCTGCAAGGAAGACAACGACGAAGAAAAGAGAGAGAGAAAGAGAGAGAGAGAGAGAGAGAGAGAGAGAGAGAGAGAGAGAGAGAGAGAGAGAGAGAGAGAGAGAGACGAGCGATAGAAGATTGTTGTCTGGTCCAAGAAGAAGAACGCGGCCATAGCTGCGAAGCTCGGACACGGAAGAGAGTGAAAGAGAAGGTGAAGCAAAGGACGGAGGAGAGACGAGTAAGGAAGAAGAAGTCATAGTTGAGGAAGGAGGAAGGAGGGACGATGAAGAAGAAGGAAGACATAGCCAGAACAGACAAAAGTGGCACATAACAGGGGGTAACACGATGTATAGAGTCTGACACCTGCCCAATGCTGGAAGGTGAAAAGGAGAAGTGATATAAGCTTCAAATGGAAGCCCCAGTAAACAGCGGCAGTAACTCTAGGTGAAGAGAGAAAGGTGAGGGAAGGTGAGAGAGAAGGTGTTGGCGGCCATAGCCGAGTTGACCGTTGACCGGGAGTTGACCGAGGGTTGACCGAGCGTTGACTGAGGGTTAACCGGACGTTGACCAAAGGGTTGACCGGAGCGTTGACCAAGGTTTGACCGCGCTGACCAAGGCGTTGATCGGAACTGCTGACCACGGAATTGACCAAGCTGGAGTTGGTATAATCTCACCAAGCCCTTAGCCTATTCCCTCGCCCTATGGATGTGCACTCACCCCATGGTACTTGTTGAGTCTGTCTGTCTCATCTTTCTGCATTGAGTCTCTTTTGTCCAGTTGATAGGAACTCCTTGTATGAAGGATAGAGCCTTGTTGACCAAACCCACACGGGCTGAGTAGGGCTAAAGGCCGTGTCTGACGACTCGACTGTCCCGGAGGACACAAAACCTCCCAAGGACCGGTACAGACCGGCGGGCTGCTCGGTGTGGCATGATAGGCCCAAAATCCGAGTTGTGGGCTGCACAACGGGCTGTCTAAGTCTTGAGCGGACTTGCTGATCAAATCGTCCTGTCTGTGACGTTAAATAATTCCTGAGGAGTTACGGGGGATCTCCTTAAATGCCTCATGATCAACATTAAGGTCCTGTAATGACAACCTTAGTTCTAGGTCTAGGCTAGAGACCATAGCTGATAGGATCTTATCAAGATTATGTGGTCTTCAAAGAATCAGTCAGTATAAGTTTAGTGGGTAGGTCCAAGTGGTGAGGAGTGGGACAGTCCCTGTCGTGCACCTAACACCATGGACGATTACCCTATGTACGGCTTGCTCGTGGGGTTCTCCCTGTGGGGGACCCTCTGCCGTTTCCCTTTTCCCCCTGGGGTTCTGGAACACCTTTACGTGTAGATTAGACATGAGGGGTAGTACTAGCACCAAGCCCTACACCAAGGAGCAGGAGGAGGAAACTGCGAGGATCTTGGCCGAGCAGAAGGCCAAGAAAGAGAAGGAGGTTGCAAAGCAGGCCAAAAAGTTAGCCTTGTTGTAAGAGCTGGCCGAAAAAAGAAAGAAGTTGGAAGAGGAATTGGAAAGGATGAAAAAAGAGGAAGAAAAGTTAAAAGCAGCAGCAGAAGAAGAAGAAGAAGAAGAAGAAGAAGAAGAAGAAGAAGAAAAGAAGGTGGAAGAAAAAGAACCCCTGATCAGAAGAAGCATCAGGAACAGAGGAGAGTCGAGTGGCACGAAGGCGGGGTACTCGTGGTTGGAGAAGGTCTCTGAATGGGTTGCTAACTTGTCCCTGGGAGAAAAGGAGGCGGCGATGTTATATGTTCCCAGGGAAGAACAGGAGGCAGTCGTGAAGGAATTGGAAGCTGAGGAAGACCCTCTCCGACAACAGACGATCGAGGAGGAGAAGAAGTTGGAATGGAAATTGCGTCTGACCAGGGAAAGAAAGAAAAAGATGGAGGCGGCAAGTAAGGCGGCGAAAGAATGGGAGGAGGTGAAACAGCAGAGAGAGCAGATGGAGGCACAGACGGATTGGCAAGGGAAAATGGAAGTGATGGCGAAAAACATAGAACGCCTGACCCAGGTTCAGGAGGAGCAATATCAATTTGGGAGGAGTCAGGATATAGCCCTGCGATCCATACGATTGGGGTTTCGAGAATTTGCACGCGAGATAATCATGCACGTGGGCTCAGAAGTGCAGACGAGATTAGAGAACACAAAGCAATTTTGTATCGCTGCCATAGAGGGCGCCAAGTTGGTTGCACCAAAAGAGGAGGAAACTCGTCCGCGTAGGGAGCTCGTTAAGGTGAAGTTTCCCGATTCCTACAGTGGGAAGAAGGAGGAGAACTTCGATAATTGGGAAGCCAACGTGAACTCCTACGTGCATTTGCAAAAGATATCGCCTGACAAACATGTCCTGATAGCTTTCCATGCCCTTAAAGACGAAGCAGCAAACCTCACCAGGTCGTTGTGTCGTGCTGCTAATTGCAATAACGATATGGTGGTCTATTCCGCCTTCACCCCTCTCAACGAGTTCTTTAAATTGTTGGGCGAAAGGTTTGCAGATGTCACACGATGTGTTAGAGTTTCTGACAAACTGCAAACCATCCACTCACGCCAGTGGAGGAGCGTCAGGGCACTCAAAGGTGTCATGGATGAGTTGGTCGCCGTTCCTGATCATGGGGTCACAGAAACCCAGTTAGTCAACCTGTTTTATCGTGTCATGCCCGAGCCTCTGCGCGGGCACTTCTTTGAGAAGAGTAGAGAGTTTGCCATGACCTACAATACTCTTAGTAGGGAAGTGTCATTCGAAGCACAGTCCATGCCAGTTTCCACTTTCTGGCATAAGGATCTTGACAAGGGACAGAAGTGGAAGGGCTGTACCATCTCGGGTCAGGTCAAGGGCAAGGATCACCCGATCCTTATATTAGATGAGGGTGGTATGGAAGAGGTCCCATATGATCAGACATAATGGGGCCAGGAGGAAGAGGACGGTAGCGCTAGTCAGAGGAGGACTTACAGTGTTGTCGCTGCTGGACGGAGGCCGCAAGGAAGAGGGAGAGACCAGGGCCAAGGGGGCCGGACCTCAGGTGGTCATGGACAGGGCGATCAGGGGGTTGGTGGTAGAGGAGGCCGCCAAGCGGAAGGTAGGGGTCAAGGTTCCCCCCAAAACTGCTCTAGTTTTAATCGGTCACCTTATAGGAGAAGCGGCTCTAGTTTTAATCGGTCACCTTATAGGAGAAGCGGATGGCACCCTGGTCTGCCACAGGGCAGACCTTGGGAAGATTTGGGCCTAGAACAAACAGTTTGGCAGAGGAGGATCGATCAGGACCAGTGCATCTACTGCGGTGATCCTGGCCATATCATTAACTACTGCCCTAAATACAGAGAGGCTCGATTTGCTGCACATGCAGCAAAGGCAACCGCCGGTAGGGGTCACAACTGCCCTTACCCCTAGACCATGTGGAGAAGAGTGCGCGCACCACGTAGAAACTCCCAAACCACATGCGTCTATGGCAGAGGTTGCTGGCCAGTGCCTAGATAGCTGTCCAGAAACTGCTTGTGTTAGAATCTCTCTAGGAACTTCCCTCACAGGCATGACATAAGAATTGAAGGAGAGAATGCCTGCCTGGGCCAAGATGAAGAAGGATGCGAAAGGACAACTACTCTTAGTAGATGTAGAGATTTTTAGAGGCACAGTAGGGGCCCTTATAAACAGTGGGGCCACCTGCAGCTATATCCGTAGGAAAGCGCTGCAGAAGTTTAATCTAAATCTCAAAGTCCAAAAGTTAAAGGACCTTATAACCAGTATCCTCGCAGACAATCGCACCATGCGAGTCGAGGATTACGTAGAGGAAGTCATGGCATATTTCCGCCTAGAGAAGGACGGGAAGGTGAACAGCCTTCCCTTCGACATGGTCTTAGGAATGGACTGGGGAGAGGCAGCAGGGGCCGCACTCCACTTGAGAGAGCACGAGTGTAAGCTCCCTAGTCCATCAGGCGAAGTCAAGACGGCTCGTCTGTTTCACGTGTCAAGAGTAGACAACTCTCTGGCACACTGCTGCCTCAGTGCTCCCGCGTTCGTGCGATTGGTGAAGAAGAAGCAATTAGAAGAGCAAGTTTTTGTAGCCTATTTCAGGCCTGTCACTGAGCCTAAAGAGGAGAAACCCGTAGATCCTGCTATTCTCAAACTGTTGGAAAAGTATACATACTTAGCTAAGCCGCCTACAGGAGTAGTGTCGTGGCCCATCCAGCATTGCATTGAGATAGAGCCTGGCAGTATGACTTTTAAGGGAACTCTGTATAGGATGTCCCCGCGGAGTTACAGGAGCTTCGCAAGCAACTGGGTGGACTCCTTGAGAAAGGTTGGATTATGATCAGTTCGTCTCCATTTGGAGCACCTGTTCTTTTTGTCCCCAAGAACGAGGGAGAACTCAGAATGTGCATAGACTATAGGGGTCTCAATGCTATTACAGTTAAGAATGCGAAACCACTGCCCTATATAGACAATCTGCTAGACCGAGTGCAGGGCTGCAAGTATTTTTCGAAAATAGATTTGAAGTCCGGATATCATCAAATAGAGGTCCATTCTGATGATCAGTACAAGACAACATTCCGGAATAGATATGGGCACTATGAGTTTATAGTTATGCCCTTTGGACTAACCAATGCGCCAACAACTTTCCAACGCTGTATGAATTATTTGTTTAGGCCGTGGTTAGATAAATTTGTAGTCGTATACCTAGATGACATCCTAGTGTTTAGTATGACCCTCCAGAAGCAAGCGGGCCATTTGAGGCAGGTATTGGAGAAGATGAGGGAAGCTAACTTCAAGATCAACGCAAAGAAGTATGAGTGGGCCAAGACGCAAGTCCTGTACTTGGGCCACGTTTTTTTTTTTTTTTTTTTTTTTTTTTTTTTTTAAAACAACCCGGGTGAATGCTAGAGGCGCTGATAAGAGTAGACGCCTCTAGCAAGCCCGGGGAGGCTCCATCTATTGGTGGGGAGCAACACCTGCTGGAAAACGGGTCCATCGTCCCTATGAATAATCAAAAATCATGTAAACATGCCACGTGACCATCATACTGTAAACAAAAGGAGCTCATGCACCGACACGTAGGCACGCTGCGTTAACCTAATGAGCAGCGACTATTACTCTCAATCGAGGAATTGGCCGCCCATTACTCCATAAGATCATACCCCTACTCAACAATCCCCATCGTGTAATCAGATCTTTGAACAACACCATGATGAGGGGAGGAGACAAACCAACTAGGGAAACTATTGCTAATACCCTCAATAGGGAAGCCATCGGTAGGGCCATAGCACCCCCTAAAGTTCATACCATAAGGATATGAACCCCCGGATGGATTAGTAAAAATCGAAGTCATATGGTTATGCCACGTGGCAACCCCAATATAAACAAGAAAATTTGTCCGAGCGGCGGCGCAGGCACATTACCCTAAACTCACATCAGGCGAGCCATGGCACCTCCAAAAGAACATTCAACACCATGAGCAGAAGAGGCAGTCAGAGCAGGCCTCCCTAACAGCAGTGGCGGGCCCAGATGAATTACACACAAAAAAATTCCATAGCGCCACTTCCCCCGACCCTTCCTTCCCCGCCACCCGCCCTCCCCCCGGATCGTCAGCGCGATTGCAATGGAGAAAGGACGCCTGGGGAGAGAAGGGAGCAGATATGGCAAAACAATCCAATATCTATCCTATCCCCTCACGTACCTTTCCCACCCCCCCATCCAGTATATTGAACAAAGCATTCAAACAACCCTCTCGCCCTCCCGTCGGTTCGTCAACACGATCGCAAAGGAGAAAGGACAGTGAGGGGGAAAAGGGGGCGGGAGAGAAAGCGAAAACCCCTATCACATTTACCCAACCCTCATTGTCGAGCTCATTGATGTTATTTTGGTTGTCACCGTTGTTGTTATCGTTGTTGTTGCAATCCAACGTGCCTGAATCCACAATTTCCACGCTTGCACAAGGGCCATGCACAGCAATCGCTGTGTTGCTGGCGCCCACAGTCAGGGCTCCGTGGTTGCTGTTGTTGTTGTTGTCGTTGTTTCCGTGCGCGCCGAAGTTCTCGACCCCATGTTTGCTCCAGCGACCTGCACGCGTTGGTCACCGTTGTTGACGTGATCACGGCTGTTGATGCTTGCGTCAGTATTATGCTCCACTTCCATCTCCAAGAACAGATACCACTCCTCCTCCAGCGCTGCATACACATCCTGCTCCTCCTCGAAGATGTTGTAGCAACCCTGCTTCAGAGTCTCGTCCTGATGACCACCTATGAGACCATCCCATCGCAAAGCCGACCCCTCCTCCAACTCCCTTGGGCCACGTCTTAGATGGGGATGGCATAAAACCTACGAATAGCAAGATAGCATCGATTAGAGATTGGCCGACGCCCCGCACGTTAACAAAATTGCGATCGTTTCTAGGCCTAGCTAATTACTATAGGAAGTTTGTAAGGAACTTTTCGACCATTGCTGCGCCCCTTCGCAGGTTGCTGAAAAAAAAGGCGATCTGGAATTGGGACAAAGATTGTACCTCGGCCCTAAAGAAGTTGAAGCGGGCCTTGAAGTATCCAGTCCTCAAGGTAGCCGATCCATCACTGTCCTTTGTTGCCACCACTGATGCAAGTCAGTATGGAATAGGTGCTTTGTTACAGCAAGATGATGGCAATGGGTATAGACCCGTAGAGTTCATGTCTGCTAGGATGCCTTCAAAGAAGGTAGCAACATCTACCTACGAGAGGGAACTCTACGCTCTTAGGCAAGCACTAGAGCATTGGAAACATTACTTACTTGGGAGGCACTTCAAAGTCTATTCAGACCACGAGACTCTGAGGTGCTGAAACACTCAGGCCAAGATGACACCTAAGCTTACTAGATGGGCCGCATAGATAGACCAATATGACTTTGAGCTTAAGCCAGTCAAAGGAAAGTACAATGTAGCTGTGGATTCTCTAAGTAGACGAGCTGACTACTTTGGAGCAATAGTTCACTATCTGGATATAGGGAGAGATCTGCAACAGAAAGTTCGAGAAGCGTATGCACAGGACCCTATTTATAGTGACCTCCTCAAGAAACTTAGGGAGGCCCCAGAGTCTGAACCAGATTACCGCACTACTGATGGGTTACTATTCGAGAAGACCAACGTAGTGGATCGTCTATGTGTTCCTAACAATGAGGAGATCCGTAGCTTGATCTTAGGGGAATGCCACGACACTGAGGGACATTTTGGTTGGCAAAAGACACTAGCCAACCTGATGCGCGCGTATACGTGGCCCAACATGAAGGCCGACTGCATAGCATATATCCGCAGTTGTAAAGTCTGTCAGAGAAATAAGACGACTACACGCGCCCCCCTAGGTCTTCTCATACCCTCGCCTATTCCTGACCAGCCAGGAGGCTCCGTATCTATCGACTTTATGGACACTCATGTCAAGAGTAGGCACAACAAGAGCCAAGTCATGGTTATAGTTGATGGATTTAGTAAGTATGCAGTTTTCGTTCCTTTGCCTGCGGAGGCACAAACAAAGTTAGTAATTCAGAAGTTCTTCGATCATTGGGTCAGTGAACATGGTATACCCCTGTCGATAGTTAGTGACAGAGTCACCAGGTTCATCAGTCAAAACTGGCAAGAGCTGATGAGAGTTTATGGGTCAAAGTTGTTAATATCATCTGGCCGCCACCCTGAGACTAACGGCCAGACTGAACAAATGAATAAAGTCCTGCAACAAGTTCTCCGAATGTACATTAGGCCTGATCAGATCAACTGGGATGAGATGCTCCCAAAGGTAGCCAGTGCCTACAATAACAGCGTGCATCTAGCTACGTGTCACACTCCCAACGAGCTGCACAAGTCCTTTAAACCGCGTAGACCGTTTGAAGGACTGAACTGGGACCAGATTCAGAGGCTACCGCCCGGTACACGAGAGTTTGCGATACGACACAAAAAAGAGAGAGCTACCGTTGTAGTCAACCTCAGGAAAGCCCATCATAGAATGATAGAGCAAGCCAATAAGCATCGTCGCCCCTCACAATTTCAAGTAGGCGACTTAGTCTGGGTCAAGTCAAAAGAATTTGCTCCTGAGGAGAACATCTCACAAAAATTACTGCCTGCGTATAGAGGACCGTGGCCAGTCTTAGAAGTCAAGGGCGGAGAGGATGGACCGTCCTATACTATTGAAATTCCAGCACACCTCCACACCTACCCAGTGTTCCATGCGTCACAGCTGTTGCCTTGCATCACAAGTCAACAGTTTCCATCACGGAGGTCTATGATTCCTCCAGATATGGATGGAAGATATGATATTGAGGGGATAGTTGGTGATGATGTCTTCAGAACAGGAGGTAGAGGTCGTCCCCAGAAACAGTACAAACTCAGATTTGCTTATCAAGAGCCAGAAGACGACTGCTGGTTCACGCAAACCGAACTTCTAGAGACAGCTCCCGATGTAGTCCGAGCCTACGAAAGAGATAAGAAGGGTAAAGGTCCTGCCTTAGACTGAAGTATTATCGGAGGACCTCGAATGTAGGCCAGTGGGAGTGAAACGGTTTTCACCTTTTTGCAGTCACAGATGAGGGCCCAAAGTTCGATCCCCAGACCTTACCCTACCCGTGTACAGTATCGAGTCGACCCTGTGAGTGTTTCAACCGGTGACCTGTGTTTTGGCAGTTGTTGTCTGTTGTAGGTCTATGTAGTTGTAGGGGTTCGATCTGTAGGTATGTCGAGTAGGGGTCAAGCCCTGTAGAGGTCGTGGCTGTAGATGTTCTGAAAGGTCAAGGTCGTAGCTGCTACAGTACTCGAAAGGCCAAGTCCACAGACTTCCGGAAGGTCCGGAAGTGGCCTGTCGAAGTTGCCTCACGTTTAGTCAGAGGCAAGTGGGCAAGTGGGGAGCCCAACTGTATTACGTCGGCAGTGCGACTGCATCGAGTTGGCAGTGCAAGCCCACGCAGTCAGCGGTACCGGTCCAGTCAGTCCCAGTCCAGTCAAGCAAGTACGACGAGGGGCTGTGTGCACCATGGGCCCGGTGGAAAGGGGTAGACCAACGAGTTGCAGAAGTATAAATCAAGAGGCAGCACCCAGCCATTCATTCATTCGCTGCGTAAGCCACGCGGAAGCGCTGCCACAGCAGCTTGTGCGAGGTGGTCTGCAGAGTGCCCGAAGTCGAAGTGGGCTGGAAGAAGATAGCGTAGCCATAGAGTAGTAGTGAGCGGCCATAGCCGCCATGGGTTACAGAGAGCTGTTAGCATGTATGTGTGCGTGACGTAGAGTGAGTGTGCGTGGGGTATTCAGGGTGATCCAGAGTTGGAGTGCGTGCGAACAGATGTGTTGGACACAGTGACGGGAGTTGGGAGGTACAGGCGCCGACACGCCATAGCCTGATGAAGCCAGTTTGCATCTGAACTGTGTTCGTGGTTTCCATATCTCTGAGCTTTGAGTGGGCGCTTGGCGCCAGTGTGAATCGCCATCTGTTTGCATGTATGCGAAGTGGAAAATAAAGCGAGTCTGATTTCATTTCAAATTTCTCTATATCTAATTCTGTTGATTACTCGTCTGATAATGTTTTCCTTTAGTCTGTGCACAGGTTCCGCAACCACGATCAGTGTGACCAAGACAATGGCACAATGGCGACTTTGCAAACATCTACAAGACAACACATGACGGGTGAGTATCATCAACAGATCAGCGCACAACAATCAACAACGTGTTAGCTTATCTTCTTCTCGTTGTCCTCACACAAATGTCTGTATGACCAGGCACCAGTCAGGGCGCGTGGCACTACATCATAATCTGGTGTTGTACCACCGGTCAGACACACGAATGCGAGTAGCTGTTCCCACCAGTCTTCAGCGAAAGGCAGAGTAATTCGAATCTGCCATGTGTCACTCTCCAAGCAAGCCAAAATGACACACGATCAAGAGAGGTGCCATATCAACATCATTGGCCAACGAGGCCGTCAAAGTGGAGATACTTCGTAGCCACGTCAGCAACAAGAAACCGCCAATCCGTATGTGATCACTTCGTTGTCAACTTCTAGATGCCGCGTCAACCCGGTGTGCTGCTGCTTCGTCGAAGACGCCACGTCAGCAGGTAGGTCGCAACACTGGTAAGTGCCACGTCAAACCCTATAACCTGCTGCTGCTTCTTAGGTGCCATATCAGCACCTGATCATCATGCCACGTAAGCGGCAATTCCCTGATGCCAGGTAAGCAGCTCTCTCCCTCTCCTTACTTCACCGGTTGCCCAACGCCACGTCAACGTTCCCACCAACATCTTCACTTCTCGCCAGTCGCCCGGTCGCCACGTCAGCGTTCCCGCCAACGAGTCAAGTCCACGTCATCAATATCATTATCAATATCAAATTCGTGCACGCAGAAAATAAAAAAAAGGCGCACAAATAGTCGTGTTGTAATCGACAGGTGCGCGCGCATTCATAAGCGTGATACGCAATACCGTCGTGTGATACCGCGATAAACAGCGACGGATGGAGGGTATCGCTCTGATACCAAATTGAAGTGAACCCAATTAGATGGAGAGCTTAAAAATGTCAAGTACAGAATGTCTCAACGCAGTTTCAATGTCACCAAAATCATACATGTAATCAAGAGTCCAATGCCACGTAACCAGAGAAGAGAATGATGAGAGGGAGATTAGACTGAGAGGGTGGAAGAGAAAGTACCCATTAGCTCAGCAGATAGATCTCCCTCACATGCCCACTCCTTCGGGCATCTGCTACTCGCCACGTCATCAGACAGTTTCCTCTGACACGCTCTGACATCGAACAAATCTCAACATGGCGCACAGGGCGCAGACTCCTGAAGAAGACAACAAGAGAGCGCAATGTCGACACGATCGCAAACAGGTAAGCTCTCCTCTCTACAGTTGACCAATCCCACAACCCTGATCCTTCTCCTCCTCGCCAACATCCCATCGTCGTAGACAGTGTGGCGAGAGCCACGTCAGCATAATCAAGAATAGAGCTGGCGCCAGCGCAAGCAGTAGCACTCTCGCAACGACGTCTAATACCAAGCCAACGTAGAGCCAGCCTAGTGCCAGCATCCAGCCAGCGTAGAGTCAGCGTCAAGCAACAAGTGCAAGACTGAATGTCGGTCAGCAGGGGCTGAGTCAAGAAGTAGTGTTGACTCCCGTTGACCAGCCTCTCGTCTCTTGGGTACGATGGCCCATATTGTCTCGCAGCCAATGGCCTGGATCTGTACAGTTACAGATTCCCACTTGGACTTGATCCTCGACAGATACCTGCAAACGGCCAAGTGCGTGTGCTTGACCGGCGGCCTGGACTAGGTCCACGCTGGCTTTGACTCGTGAAGCTGAACTTCTGAGCTGCTGTTGACCTTTTGACTTTCCATGGTCAACTGTTCCACGTTGAGCCTCTGAAGGCCGGTTTTAAGCCTTGCTTCAGGCACCCCACCATAGCAGGCCTTCGTTCAGGCTGTGTTCATGACTTGGGCGAGGCCGTTTGATCCCTTTCTTGGCCACGACTGATGCATGATTTGAACGAAGTTGTTGCAGAATAGAATGGGAAGCTAAAAACTGACAACCCCAGCCCACGACTGATGCATGATTTGAGCGAAGTCATTGCAGAAAATAGCAAATATATAAAGTATACCTACATTTAAATTTGACAGTACCATACCATAATCAAACGGTATTACTGCCCAAGCACACACACACACACACACACACACACACACACACACACAGAGAGAGAGAGAGAGAGAGAGAGAGAGAGAGAGAGAGAGAGAGAGAGAGAGANAGAGAGAGAGAGAGAGAGAGAGAGAGAGAGAGAGAGAGAGAGAGAGAGAGAGCTCATCCAATGTGCAGAACAAATGTACTGCCTCGCGTGGCAGCACATACAATTTGAGTGCTGCACATGTGCTCCATTCACTGTGAAACAGCAGCAATCGTTAATGACACAACCATAGACAGGGTGGGAAGAGGCCACATGTAGAATTCCACGTAGTTCTCTGCAACCGAAGAGATACAGGACAGAGAACTGGATCCAGTCTATTCACTACCCCTTTTCCGATCCGCTTCTCTCTTCTTTGCACCAAACCCCCAGATGACAAATGGAAAAGTTACTTAGCACCAAACCCCCAGATACACATCACTACCCCTTTTCCAATCCGCTTCTCTCTTCTTTGCTTTGGGTGTTCAGACATACTCAGACACCCACCTTTTTTCTTCCTGCTAAGGGTGCATCCCATAACATGAATGTATCCGTGTCATTCGGCGACGAATTTAACTCGTGATCTGTTTTAAGTAAGCATGTCTGCACCCATTGAGCTATGAGACAGGTGCAACAGAAAAGGACAGAACACATATATTTATTTCCCAGAGCTAACCAAACAGAGGAATCGCTCATGCATTCGGTGATGGAAAAAAAGAAGGCTGCCTTGAAGAAAGTCGCCCACGACAGCTCACATCACGTACATAGTACTACATACATGTCGTTCCCTCATCGAAAAAAGTCGAACGCCAATCAAGACGAGCACAGAAAAACGTCAAGCGCCAATCAAGACGAGCACAGAAAAATGTCGCCAATCAAGATGAGCAGAGATGAGATTCCCATAAGGTAATATACTGTCATGTCATCACCTGCAGAGGTCGATTGCAGACACACCGCGGCTTGTGGGCACTGAAAAGTTGCTTCGCTGGAAGGGGGAGAAGGTAGGTCACTACCGCCTTCATCTGAATAGGACGCCCAGTCATTATCCCTGCATCTGGACTGGAAGCTGTGCTGAATACAGCTATAATGACTGGGTATTATATTCAGGTGAAGACAGTTGCCGATACAACATGGCTTGTGAGCGCTGAAAAGTTGCTTTGCAGGAAGGGGGAGAAGGTAGGTCACTACCGTCTTTTCACCTGAATAGAACGCCTGGTCATTATCGAGGAATCGGGACTGGAAGCTGTGCCAAATACAGCTATAATGACTTGGGTATTATATTCGGCCCAATAATTCGGGTGAAGAAGGTGAAGACGGTTGCCCTCAAAGCATCATAACATTCACTTGACGAAATATGAGTGCTGACTCGACCGGGCTGCATTTGACAGAATTGGCACTCCTACGACCAGCCAGTGAAGCAGAAGCGGCAATCATTGCCTCTGAAGCTTGAGCTGAATACAACCAAATCAACACACAGTTGGACACAAGACAAGTATTGGAACAATAGTACGGATACAGAGAAGATTAGCATGGCCCCTGCCCAAGGATGGCATGATAAATTGGGAAATGGTCCAAATTTGGGGGGGGGAAAAAAAGAAAGGATGAAAAAAGTACAGGAATCATCATGAGAGACGGGAACCTTCAAAAATTTTGATTGCAAGGCAGGACAGTTAGACAGTTGCACAAATAGAAACCAAAAAAATAAAAAATGAAACAAGTTACCGCCTTCTCCTAAACTGTATCGAACAGGGACGATAGGGTGTGTAAATTCGTGGTCAGGGTGGTGCGCTGCGTCAAGGGGAAGTCAGTAGTCTAGGCATTCAGCTAGTCTGAGCAGCAAGGACTCAGAGCACAGTGTTGACTTCCAGTAAGAGAAACACCATTGACTGAGATTCTCCTTCACATATGCAATCCATCCATCCATCCATCCATCCATCCATCTATCCATCCATCTATCAATCTATCGATCTATCAATCTATCCATCTATTCCATCTATTCCATCTCTCTCTCCAGATATGTATCCATCTATCCATTGATAGATCTGCAATCCATCCATCTATCCATCTATCCACCTATCCATCTATCCATCTATCCATCTATCCATCATCTGTCAATCTGTCCATCCATCCATCCATCTATCCATCATCTGTCAATCTGTCAATCTATCCATCTATCCATTCACCCATCCACCAATCCACCAATCCACCAATCCACCAATCCACCAATCCATCATCTGTCAATCTATCCATCATCTGTCAATCTATCCATCTATCCATCTATCCATCCACCCATCCAACCATCAATCTATCCACATCCATCCATCCATCTGTCCACATCTATCCATCTATCCATCTATCTGTCAATCTATCCATCATCTGTCAATATATCCATCGTCTGCCAATCTATCCATCTATCCATATATCCATCTATCCATCTATCCATCTTTCCACCCACCCATCCACCCATCCACCCATACATCCATCCAACCATCAATCTATCCACATCCATCCATCCATCTTTCCACATCTATCCATCTATCCATCATTCCATCTATCCATAATGATTCCATATATGTATCCATCTATCCATCCATCGTGTTGCAGAGGGGGAGTGAAAGACAAGTCTGAGGAAGAAGCAAGAGAAGTGAAAGGAGTGAAACAAAGCGGAAGATGAGGAGGAGAGCAGTGGGCGAAAGAACGAGCCATATATGCGAGCATACCCTACCGTCTTCCCCCCAATAGAACGTGCAGGTCGTGCAGTCATTATGCCTGTATTTAGGGCAACAATCAGCCTAGATACAGTGATAACGACCGTATGCCCTTTTGGGTGAAGAAGGTAGCTTATACCCTAAAATAAGTTGCTGAACTGACACACAGGGATTGGGGGTAGAGAGGGTCAACAGCACAAGAGTGGTCATGAGTGGAAGGGGTACCAAGAGGAAAGACGAGTGCCAGGGAAAAAGAGCCCCTGAGCTAAGGAGTCAAGAGAAAACAGCAGCATCAGCAACACAGGGAGGACAGGGATAGCAAGTTCAGCTACTACTGCCAACCATACCATCTTCACCCGAATAGATAGCCTGGTCATTAAATCTGTATTCGGTGCAATTTCCAGTCTTGATACAGCGATAACGACCGGGCGTTCTATTCGGGTGAAGAAGACGGTAGTCTGACCGTAGTCAAATGAAGAGGTAAACGGGGGGAAGAAGAACAAGAGGAGCAGAAGAAGAAGAGGCGGAGCAGAAGAAGAAGAGGAGGAGGAGCAGCAGCAGAAGAAGAAGAAGAAGAAGAAGAAGAGGAGGAGGAGAAGGCCATAATTTACAAGAGCACTCTATTGTTATGGTTCGAGGAGGTAGAGTCAAAGATTTGCCTAATGGTGTAAAATACCATTGTATTCGAGGAGTGAAAGACTTACAAGGAATTCCTAATCGACGTCGAGGCAGATCAAAATATGGTAGAAGAAGAAGAAGAAGAAGGTGAAGAAGAAGAAGAAAGAAAGGAAGAAGAAGAAGAAGAAGAAGAAGAAGAAGAAGAAGAAGAAGAAGAAGAAGGAGGGGGGGAAGGAGGGAGAGGGAGGAGGAGGAGGAGGAGGAGAAGAAGGAGGAGAAGGAGGAGCAGGAGCAGGAGCAGGAGGAGCAGGAGCAGCAGGAGCAGGAGCAGGGGCAGGAGGAGGAGGAGGAGGAGCAGGAGGAGGAGGAGAAGGAGAAGAAGAAGAAGAAGGAGAAGAAGAAGAAGCAGAAGAGGAAGAAGAAGGAGAAGAAGGAGGAGGAGGAGGAGGTACCTCCCCAAAAGTGCGTCCATGCACGCAACGGGACATAATGGGATGAATGGGTCTGCCGAGCATTGATAGATTCATTAGATTCATTCAAAATGAGCCGTTGCAGCACTGCAGCAACGACTGGCCCGTCCGCAGTCGCAATTTCAGAAGTACTGGGGGTTTAATCTTTACACATCCTTACTCTGCACATCTATCATTAGAAAACTCCACATCCTTACTCTGCACATCTATCATTAGAAAACTTACCCGCTTCCTGACTGAGCCTGGCCTTTGTGACGCCTGTGATATCATTGATGACTCGATGCGAAGCCTCGCCGAATGATCGCTGCTGTCGTGACATAACATCTTCTTTCCCGATTGGTTCTCCGCTGACTCTGGCGTCTCCAGCAACAGACTCTGAAAAGAACATACGTAAGGAAGTGGAATAACTGACAAGTCCTTCTGTACGAGAGCTCAAAATGGTGAAGCCATAAATTACAAAGGCAACCAATTGTGTACTTAGTCTTGGGACCTGTCAGTGTCCCCACATCTTGGATCTGCTGGCTGCAGACAGGCCGTGCACTTTCCTGTAATAGGAGCTATCTTCGCCCGAGTTTGTTTATATACACAGGACTGGATAGGTTAACACTTGCCCTTAGTACCCTTAGTGATGTTTTGTGCACCCACAAACCTGACCGCTTTGATTTCCCTCCAAAGGGCATAGAACCATACCCACACCCTTTGTACCCTTACTGATGTTTTGTGGCCCCACAAACTTTACCCCCTTTAATTTCCTCCCAGTGACAAAGAAGCATACACACGCCCTTTGTACCCTTACTAATGTTTTGTGGACCCACAAACTTGAACCCCTTTAATTTCCTCTAAATGACATAGAAGCATACGCACTCCCAACTTCAGCACTGGCAGAGCCATCAAAGGATAAATAAATACATTAACACAGATGCTGGCATGGGCTGGCACAAACCCTGACGCATACGCTGGAGTGGATACTGAAGCACACGCTTTTTTTGGTGTAGGTGCCGGCAAGGACACACCTTTGGCCCTACCCGCGTTTGGCTTGCACCGGCTATTTTGGAATGATTCACGCCTCGCTTTGTTATCGTTGACAGAAGCGGATCGGTTAAAACTTGCCCTTACTGATGCGTAGGAACACACAAACTTCACCACTCCGATTTCCTCCAAGGCCCAAAGGGCATAGTACCATACCCACTCCCAACTTCAACAGTGGCAGAGCCATCAAAGGATAAATAAGGATGTTGGAGAGGACGCTGGCATAGGCTGGCACAAATCTGCTGTACACGCCGCAGTGGATGTCGATGCACGTGCTGATTCTGCTGCAGGTGCCGGCAAAGACGCACCTTTGGCCCTGCTCGCATTTGGCTCGCACGAGCCATTTCAGAAGAGCATTCACCGTGGTCACTGCACAGTGCTGATTCTGCTGCAATGCCGGCAAACACACTGATTCTGCTGCAGGTGCCAGGAAAGACGCACCTTGTTCGCTATGCAGACGACTTTCTGATCGGAGTCATGGGACCGCAGGTACTACATGGTCTCTAACGGCACACGCGCTTGGACCTAAACCATTACATGGGCCATATATCGCTACAGTGACTACATGCTGAAGCTGCTCCCAGAAGATGCCGATAACACTCCTCCTGACGATGCAGAGATTTATGAATTGGAGAAGTCTATGTTGATGCTGACACCCTGAACCTCGTGAAAATAGATGCCGTGCTGAATTCGATGAATGTGCATGCACAATCTAAATGAGAGCACAGTGCACACACTCTCAAGAATCAAGATAATGGATGCAGAGTCGCGCATTCTTTTTATTTATTTATTTATTTAATCAGACTCATTTGCAGAGTGTGCTTAATTTCTAACAGTTAAGAAATTAACCGTCTAGGCTCGACTCTTCGAGCCTAGCAGTGGAGCTAAAATTCTGATTGAGATCCAGATGCATATGTTCATTCTCATGCGTACGGACGGAAATTCCAGGAAAAGACAAAACTGCAGCAGCCAGAGGATTGGCGGATACCGATGCGAAAGCCAGTGCATGCAGATGTACATGCTCAAGCGTTTGGTTGGGGGGAGGAGGGAGGGAGGGGGAGGGAAGTGCAAGAGAAAACTTTCATAATATATAATATAGGTGAGGAACTGCAGGTGCTGGAAATCGCGTGCAGCATACATTTAATGTGATGAATATAGCAAGAAAAGGATCAAAGTTCATCAAACCATAGCTTCTCACATTATTATTGGTAGTCAATAGAAAATCCACGTATGCAGTGCCGCCTTCCTGATAGTTATGGCGGCCGCAAGGCGGCGATCCACCCATGAGAAATGCTGATGCGGATACAAGTGCAGGTGCCAGCATATAGAGTTGCAGCTTTCCACTCTCCGTGCTGTTGTGAACATAAGATGCAAAGAGTGAAGTAGACGTTCCGGCATGGAGGTTGAAATGAGGATGACGCCGAATTGCTGGACACGAAGTGTTGACGTAATGCGTACTATTCTAGAAACAGTGTGTGAACCACGCTCCCTGAAATGTTCCAAGCCTGGCTATTCGCAACATACTTGTATGAAACAGATACGCCAAGATTTTCGAGGGGCGGCTGGAGGTTTGAAATGAGGATGACAAACGTAAAAGGCTAAACTGGGAGAGTACAAAGCAGCTATTCAGAAGGAAATAGGGGACGAAGGAAGGCAATGACTGAAGATGCACTTGTAAGGGCAGCGCATCTTTCTCTCTCTCCTTTTTCTGGCTTCCTTTCGTGTATGAAGGTGCACTTGTCTTGCCTTTGCTTCCTTTTCCACTATTTTTAATCAATCGCCCTTTGTCCCGCGCATCTGCACATGCGTCTCCCTTGCATCAATGACTAAAAAAACAAGGATAGATCCTGGGGGATGATGAACAGAGGACAAACCAGAACAGCGCAAAGCACTGGGGACTCTAAGGGAGACGGTCCCTGTCTAAACTTGTGCCAGACAAAGCTGACGCTACTAAAGAAAACAAATTTGGGTGAAAAAAAAGAGGATGATTGGACAGGGAGTCGGGCCCTCAAATTCCAGGAGAAAAAGCTTTAGATGGGAAGTAATGAGGGAAATGGAGAGATTGGCATGACTCAGAATCATCGCATAGACGGCAAGACTCTGGCACAGGAGGACCAAGCCCATTTTGGGATGTAAGGCCGGCGGGGAGAAAATCACCAACGAAACACAATCACAAGGGATTAATACCTCTCAGGTTCCTCTGCTCTCGTTTGTATATCTAGCTGTGCTATGTCGGTTCACCCATGTCCAACGTGGATGTTCAAAGCACAGCACAACTACTACCGTGCCTCTTCCATCTCATTCCGCCATAGCCACACAACCCTCGGATGACGAGGTCCAAGACTTCCACCATAGCCACACCCTCGAATGATGAGGTCCAAGACTTCCGCCATAGCCACACTCTCCTCTCAGGCTCCTATGCTCTCGTTTGTATATCTAGCTGTGCTATGTTGGTTCACCCATGTCCGACGTGGATGTTCAAAGCACAGCACAACTACTACCGTGCCTCTTCCATCTCATTCCGCCATAGCCACACAACCCTCGAATGATGAGGTCCAAAACTTCCGCCACAGTCAGCCACACTCTCGGATGAGATCCAAGACGAGCCCGTACCCACGCAGCCTGTATGCGCACAGGCTGAGACAAATTCCAAAGGAGAACGGCGTAACTAGCGATCAATACTCCTTCCCAACGGACTGTCGATGCTGACCCGAGGTTCCCCTTGGCCGTGGGATAAGAAAGCATTGTGCAGGTGCCATCGTGTACATACGACTCGCTCGTGGGATAGGAATCGGACTGCTGCTCTCCAGAATATAACTAAGCCAGGACCATGAGGCCCTGTTTTCATTAAACAAGAAGGAAATGAGGAAATGTTGAAGGATGAGCCTAGTCGGGCATCTATCGCAAGGCGGACAGGAAAAAACAAAAAAGACTATCCGTAAAATGGCAGTTACCAGCATGCACAAGCAAGCATACATGAGCCCAGCAATGGCCGAAAAATACACATGAGATCGAGCCAATACCAGCCGTATGGGGAGTGCAACACTTTTCCTAGCAGGAGGCCATAGAGGAGCTGAAACAGAAGCTGTTTAAAGTTTAGACATAAAAATTAAACCACCACTGTCTCCAGAAAAATTGGGCCGGGCCTGGTCGTATCATCAATCCGAAGGACGAACTGAACAGGGTAGCCCTCCTGGTGACCATGGCAGCCGTAAACGGAAGTAGCGGTTTGGAACAGTCTTAAAAAGTAGCGGTTCAGAAAAGAGTACAACTGTACGAACAGATACGTTATGTTATGTTGGGCGAAAAGTCATCGTTCAAAATTGGTGGCTGAACCCTGACCACAACATGAACCAGGAGAAGAATTAACGAACTGACAAATTTGAGATGGCATCTGCGACGTCTCACTATTAAACCAACAGTGTGGCCTCGCCCATAACCATAAGTCGTCACCTCTGGAAACAACCAAAAGGCCCGAAACACATAGCGCTGTGAGAAAGATGAGTGAGACGAGGACAAACTTCTTGCAAGCAGAGTATCTCTTGGGACCCGCGCCAGGTTGTGGGAAGCACACACGCTCAACCCCTCCATGCTGTTGATCGGCTGGGCCCGGCACCTCCTGGGACAGTACCGACAATGTTCTGGTTCCAGTAGCGTCCTCAGACTGGCCTTCAAAGCGTCCCTGAGAAGGTCAGAATATAAGAGACAAAAGCATGAGCGAGCGCCGAAGTAGAGGAGACTGCTATGGGTAAAGGGGAGCATCTGGAAGGGTACCATGAAACTGTCAAACAATTGAAGAGGATGAGGGCCTCCTCTTATAGTCGTCAATTTCAGCTTCAACAGATCAAGTTGCTGCTGGAGAAGGATTACAAAGCTCGGCATGCACAGGAGAGTTATGGGAGAATTAGGGAGCAAAGAGATAAACGTGGTTAACCGGGGGTGTGTTTGCGCCAAATTTTGCACTGAAACTGTCAGACTGGCCAGATTTTTCTCTTTTCTAAAGTTTTTTGAAGTTTTCCACTCTGTTGCGTGTGGCGGTGTGGCGAAAATGGCAAGTTTTCGGCCCTCCGTTAACCATCTGTCGTGTTTATTTTTTTGAAGGGCGAGGACCTTCCGATATCGTCATTCAGAAATATTTGATTTCATTCATCTAATGCAAGTTATGCAACCATCTGGATGCGAACTTAGGTCTGTATTTCACCAGATGAACCATCTCGATGCGAACTTAGGTCTGTATTTCACCAGCTGAACCATCTGGATGCGAACTTAGATCTGTATTTCACCAGTTGATGGGTGTACCAACTGAGCTAGGCTCATTGGTACAGATTCTCCTCCTTTCTTGAT